CTGCCTTGCTCAGGAGCCTTTTCTCTACCCCAGTCCACTCTATCCTTCCTTCTCCCAGGACACTATAGGACCCTCATGCGGTTCAATATTTTTCACAAATTGCATTGTATTCTTAGGCATTTTTCTTAGATGTGGGTCTTGTCTCTCCAACTACTTTGTAAATTCCTTGTGCTTAGATCTATTATCATATTTTTCTGTTATCTGTAGTGGGCAACAAGTTTATATATATTTTAAAATACTGAATGCACCCCAGCTGGCTTGGTTGAGACCATTCAATTTTATTTATTGAGCATTGTTTATAAAGCAATGTGGGAAATATAAAGGTGGCTAAAATAGATTCTTTCAAGGGATTTATACTTTGGTGGAATCTATAGTCCACACACATAAGGCTGAGTGCCAGGCACTGTGAAAAACATACAGACTCAATATTGTGGGAAATGGGTGGGAAAAGTTTTTGTTGAAGAGGTGAATGCCTGCATGTGCCCTTGGGTAAGGCTTCTGCAGGGGAAGCAGACTGGATGGGGAAAGGACACTGGAAATCCTCAGACAATGGGTAATGAAAGCAGTAAATACTGAACTTGCTCACTTGGCACCCAACTCTTAAAATAGCTCAACTAGAAGCTGGAGCTAATGGTGTGTGCCCATAATTCCAGCACTGACAGAGGCTGAAGCATGAAGACTACAAATTTGAGCCCTTCCTGGGCAATTTAGTTTCAATATATATTAAAAAAAGGGCTTTTGAGGTAGCTCAATGGGAAGGCTATGGGTTCAATCCCCGCTATGCCACGGCCCAGAAAAAATCAAACTGGAAGGAACATGCTTCTGGAAGCCTTTAAAAAATGAGGGTTTTAGACAACTGTGACTCATAAATAAAGAAAAAATGAATATAGTGTAGTTTGGAAACATTTTTTATGACACTTTTACATTCTTAAAAATTAATGACTCAGGGCCCAAGATTTAGCTCAGTGGTTCCGCTGCCTGCCTCGAAAGTGCAAAGTCCTGAGTTTGATCCCTGGTACCAAAAATAAATAAATTAAAAAAAATTAATGAAGTCTCCAAAGAACTTTTATTTACGTAGTTTATACCTATTGATATTTACCATATTAGGAAGTAAAACTGATAATATTTAAAAATATTAACTCATTAGAAATACTTAACCCATCTTATATAAATTTTTATTTTATATAAATTTTTAATGGAGAATAACTTCTCTAAATCAAAACCAGTGAGAAGATGGCATTGTTTTTTATAAATTTGTTTAATAGTTGGCTTAAGAGGAGGCAATTTGATTCTTCTATCTGCTTTTTTTTTTTTTTTTGGTATTGGGGATCGCACTCAGGTCCTTGAGCTTTTGAGGCAAGTGGTGGAACCACTGAGCTAAATCCCCGGCCCTCTTCTATCTACTTTTGCATTTAATCTGTAGTAAGAAGTTGTTTTGGTTAAAGTATATAAAGATAATTGGCCTCACACAGATGTGTAGGAAAGGAAAAGCATATCTTAAGAGCATTTTCAAGCCTGGAGTGGTAGTACATATCTATAATTCCAGAACTCTGGGAGGCTGAGGCAGAGGAACCCAAGTTCAAGGCCTGCCTGGGCAATTTGTTGAGACCTTGTTTTTTGTTTTTGTTTTTTTTGGTACCAGGTATCGAACTTGGGACCTTGTGCTTGTGAGGCAGGTGCCAGAACCACTGAGCTAAATCCCTGGCCCGAGACCTTGTTTTTATTTTTATTTTTTATTTAGTTTTTGGTACTAGGGATTGAACTCTGGTCCTTGCGCTTGCGCAGCAGGCGGCGAAACCACTGAGCTAAATCCCCAACAGCTCTTTTATTTATTTTTTTTTGGTACTGGGGATTGAACTCAGGACTTTGCGCTTTCGAGGCAGGTGGCGGAACCCCTGAGCTAAATCCCCAGCCCATGAATTGCTCTTTTAAAGCAAGCCTGGCATCCCATTCATTAATAATGTACGAAGAAGAAACTTAAATGGAAGGTTTTAAAATTCACATTGGTGGTGTTCTAATTCTTTCATGGAAACAGCCTTGATTTTCTCTTTTGTTAGGTCTTGGTTGAAGTTCCATGCTTTGGAATTCAAGTAACTCAGGTGGACCGAGAGCCGTGGCATGAGAATTAGTCAGGGAAGACATAGGCTGAATTTAGGAGCATTCTTTTGTGCATAATACCCACACAGTTCTGTATCTTGGGCAGAGTTTTGTAGATTGTAGATTTGTGAGTTCATGGTGTTGGGTACAGGATTTGAGCCTGGCCAAGGCTCACCTAGTTATTCTGGTTACTAATTGTGAATTTCAAAATTTCTCTCTCATGAGTACTTAACCTGAGCCCAAGAATTTGCTGTTTTGCCTGAGTATAACATTTTAAGGAACACTTTGTCCTTTCCTCTTGTCAGCATACTTATTTCTAGGAGAACTGTGTCTCCCATGTCTGTTCTGTTCTTCCTACCTGACCCTGTTACTCCACGGTGTTGGGCAGGGTGCAGGGGCAGGACTGCCTAGGGAATTTCTGCCCTTGGCTCATTCCCAGCCTCCTCAGCTTCTTTGATACATAGATAGCCTTCTCATCTGAGACTAGAGGAGACGTGGCTATCCTAAGGGAGTCATAGCGTCCAAGCCAGTATGGAGACAGTAAATAAAGCAAGTGCTTTGAAACCCTCTGAGGGGGCACAGACTACCACCTGAACCCCACTTTTTCTCAGTGGTTGTGGTTGTGATGCGGGTAATGAGGAGCGGGGAATTTTGTGCTTATAATCAGGATTGGCCACCTCTGTCTTCAAGTTAGTTCTTTCTCTTTTAATCAGAATCTTCTCTCAAACTGCACAACTGATCTTTTACAGTTTTATTTACTTTCTTGTATTTTTTTTTTTGGTACCGGGGATCGAACTCGGGTCCTTGCACTTGTGCAGCAGGTGGTGAAACCGCTGAGCTAAAATCCCCGGCCCATTTTCTTGTATTTTTTGCGACAGGGTCTCTGAATGTAGCCTAGATTGGCTTTAAACTCACAATCTTCCTGCCTCAGCCTCCCAAGTGCTGGGATTATTGACATATACCCCCATGCTTGGCATTATCTCTGATATTTTAAAAAACACCTTGAACCAGGCTTGGTAGCTCACTCCTGACATCCTAGCACTGAGGCAGGAGGATCACCATAAGTTCAAGGCAGCCTGGACTACATAGTGAGTTCAAGGCCAGCCTGAACTGCACAGTGAGACCCTGTCTCAAAACAAAAGAAAACATGGGCTGGGGATTTAGCTCAGTGGTTCCGGCACCTGCCTCACAAGCACAAGATCCTGAGTTCGATCCCTGGTACCAAAAAGAAACAAACAAACCAAACCAAAAATACTTTTTACCATTTTGGGACCTCTCAACAATCATAGAGACTACTGAGTGAGGCTTATGTAAGCAGCTGTCTTGGTTTGATTTCTATTTGTTCTGTATTATCTCTTCTCTTCTCTTTTTTTCCCCCTTTGCTGGGAATTGAACCTAGGGCCTTAGCACTGAGCTACATCCCCCAGCCCCATTTTGCATTTTGAGATGATTTTGCCAAAGCTGGGCTCAAACTTGTGATCCTCCTGCCTCAGCCTCCCAGAGTACAGGCGTTACCACCATGCCTACATCATTCTGATTATCTATGAGTAGAAAAACTTACATGGCTGTATTTCTCTCCTAGCTCTGTAAAAAAAAAAAAAATTGCAGACTGGTTGACTTAAGAAAACAGAAATTTGTTCTCTTAAACTTCTGGAGGCCAAAAATCCACAATCAAGTGTTGCTAGGGTTGGTTCCTCCTGTAGACTCTGTGGAGAATCCATCTCGTGCCTCTCTCCTAGCTTTTGGGGACACCAGCAGTTCTTAGTTTTTAGACATAGCAGACCATCTCTCCCTCCACTTTCGCTGACCTCTTCTCTGTGCATTCTCTTTTTTTTTTTGGTACCGGGGATCGAACTCGGGACCCTGTGCTTTCGAGGCAGGCAGCGGAACCACTGAGCTAAATCCCCAGCCCTGTGTGTTCTCTTTTTATGGAAACGTGTAGGGCCCACCCAGATAACCCAGGATGATCTCACCTTGAGATCTTTAGTTTAATTACATCTGCAGAGATGCTTTTTCTACATAAGGTCACAGTCACATTTTTTGAGCTGGGTGCACACCATTCAGCGCACTGCAGTGGCCACGCAGGCTCTTCTGCCATTCTGGCCAGAGTCCTTGTAAATGCTTGGCATTCTTGTCGGAGAGTGAGGACTGTGCTTCACTGCCCAAGACTAGCAGAGAGATGTGCAAACCAAGCATTGGACAGTTGGGAGCAGTTCTCTTTGATTGGATTGTTTTGTCTTTAGGTATGCCTGGAAATGTTTCCTGTGCACTCTGTGGAGGTGAAGAGGCTATGGCAAAATATTATTTTGCCTGAGCCCAAAAGTTGAACATTTAAACTCGATCTTGATGAAATCAGAATATATTGTTTCTCTAAGCAGAACAAAGATAGTTTTACTTCTCTTCCTAGATGGTTTATCTTCCAGAGTCTGAACCCTTCTCTAGTTCAACATACACATAATTTTATACAACAAATTGCACAGTTTCTGCAGATCTAAAAAATACACCGTTAATACCAACTTGTGGTAATACAATTTAAAGAATATACAAGTGAATAAATTAAAAACTGAAAGCTCCCTTGCCCTCCCCCCGTAAGATTGGTGTAAATTTTCCTGAACTCTCTTTGATGTGGTTTGTAGGCACCATACTGAGCTGGTGACACCAGCTAATGTTTACCAAAGTGAATATATTGCTATCCTTCAGTGCTTGTCTTTAGAATAGTAAATCACCTTTAAATCCATTTCAGCGGGATCTTAACATTTTTAGTAGACAAAGTCCTGTGTTCAATGTGGAGATGCTTATGGTAAGGAAAAGTTTATACTGTGAAATGTGCTTTAATAATACCTGTTGTTCTTATGTTCTTTTGTATATAGGTCTAAAAGGTTTTTTAATGTTTCCCTTTGCAGATTTAACCCCGAGACTGACTTCACTATAGAAACACAGTTGTATCAATGGTTGGGGAAAGATAGTGGTGACAGGCACAGGAGAAACAGCTTTGAAATACAAAAAAATGAGCATGCTAAAACCAAGTGGGCTTAAGGCCCCCACCAAGATCCTTAAGCCTGGAAGCACAGCCTTGAAGACACCGGCTATTGGTAATGCTTTATGTTTTTTCTTTTTCTATTTTTTTTGGGGGGGTGGGTACTGGGAATCAAACTCAGGACCTTGCACTTGCAAGGCAGGTGCAGGCACTGCTGAGCTAAATCCCCAGCCCTTCTTTCTCTTTTTTTTACACCCATATTTTTCTTTAATAGCAGATAATTATCTGGTATGAAGCCTTCAATTTGAAATCTTTAAGAAAGAAAACCTTTTAATCGCTCGTATTCTTGAAAACATTTGAAAAAAGTTTGGATTAAAAGGCAGAAATTAAAAGAGCTGGGCCTGGTGGCACACGCCTGTAATCCTAGCACTCAGGAGGCTGAGGCAGGATGGCTGGGAGTATGAGGCCAGCCTAGGGTCAGTCTGCACTACAAAGTAAGGCCCTGTTTTTTAAAAGAAGACCAAAATTAGCTAGGTATGGTGTTGCACACTTGTAATCCCAGCACTCAGGAGGCTGAGATGGGAGGATCACAAGCTCACAAGTTCAAAGCCAGCTGGGCTACTTGGTGAGTACCTGGCTCCAAAAACAAAAACCAAAAAACAACCTTGTTTTATAGAGGTCCCATTTGATCCAGGTATTCCCCTGCTGGGTATCTTCCTAAAAGAATTAAAAGAATCATACCACAGCGATATATGTGGACCCATGTTTATAGCAGCACAGTTTGTTATAGCTAAAGCTTGGAAACAGCCCAAGTGCCCATCAACTGGAAACTGGATAAAGAAGATGAGGGTTTTTTTTATAAAATGGACTACTACTCAGCCATAAAGAATGACAAACTAGAGACATTTATAGCTAAATGGATGCACATTGAGGCAATACTCTTAAGTGAAATAAATAAGACACACGTGTACAAATACCGAATAATTTCTCTAGTGTGAGAAACTGAGAGTGTAAATAAGGATTAAAATGATTAATAACTAATAATTAATAATTTGAAATAAGAAGAGGTCCAAAGGGGTAGGGGTGCTGGGAGGGGAAGGGAAAGGAAAGAATGGAAAGGAAAAATTATGAGAAAAGAAAAACAAATGGAAACTAAATCTATGTAAATAGGGAAGGGTGGAGGGGGTGAAGGGTGCACAGGTAATGGGGAAAAAATAAGAACCAAGATACATTATTTACAGGTACAAGCACCCCATGATAAATGTAAATGTCTTCTATACCTAAAATGTACCAATAAAAGAATTTAAGGAAAAAAAAATGTGGGTGGCTCCTAAAATCTATTGTAAATTACAAAACTGTAACTATTAAAATAACCCATACAAATATTTGTTAAAACATTTTAAACTATAAATGATAGTAAGACACAAGCTAGAGTTATAACTGAGAAAAATAAATGCACTATGGTTCTGTTAACTGCTGTTTTAACTGTTCAATGTGAAGTACCCACTAGTTTTCCTAAATCTTCCTCTCATTACTCATAAAATTGTCCAGTCCAGCCTCCAGTTTATACCTTATGTTCACTGTTCTGTCTTAAAACTCTTGTTTGGGCACTTGATCATGGTTTCTCAAGTTTCACTTTAAAGAGTTGAATGAAATTACTCCCTAATAGCAAGATCATGATCAAATAACTAGTAGGTACTTGAGCTGAAATTTGAGCTTTAAATCCACCAAAAGTGTGAATGACCTGAGGCAATTAAGTTGGATCTTGTTCTGCCACAGTTATCCAATCAACTCCCTTCCCTTTCTGCCCTGTATTCAGAATTCTGTTGAAGGTCGATGACTCAGTAGAAATTCTGGGTATAGAGGCCCTTATGAGAAGAATTGTGAGCAATCAACATCACTCAAATTAGTTTCTAAGGACTGTATCTTGGTACATATGTCCATAGGCACTACCATCATCACCTGAAGGCAAAGGGAGTCCTGGACCAAAGTGTTAGAGAGAAGAAATAAAAAGCACAGGTTTGCCTTGTGTTTCAGTTACCTAGTGGTGTGAACTAAATTACCTAAAAACTTTGGAACTTAAATCCAGTTTACTACCATTAGTGTCTGTGAACAGAACTTGGCTGAGTGGTTTGAATTGATATCCATCAGTTGAGTTAGATGAGATGAAGACC